AACTGAACAACTTTTTTTTTATTATAAATAAACCGTTATATTCCAAATTATTTGAACGAGGCTGGGGACCTCACACTTCTACCCGGAGTTATCCTGGCAGCACCAGCCAGTTTAGCTTACAGTCATCAGACTGAGAAATTGCGAATTTCCTTCCAATCAATACAGAATATAACTTCCTTTTACCCAATATCACCACTTTCCTATCTCTACGCTTTTAATCTCGCATTCGGCATAGATATCTGGTTCAATCGCTTCAAAAAATTACACTTAATAACTCTAATTCTCACCCTCAGAGCTACTGGGCCTAACGCGGCCTCTGGGACTAAATAAAAAGTGGCCCATTGGACCTTGTCTGCCTATCCTGACACTCTCCTACATAGTCCACTGAGACTCTTACGAACCGAGTGTCCTGGTACTTAGTCTACACCTACTGGTTTACTTCGGCCTGCCCAACAAATTGCCTACATTTGTCCTTCCTTAGCTCCTAACTACCTATAGTGTGAACTGTTGCCAGTTGCTCTTGTTTGGCCCATGTCCTCCTGAACCATTCTGTTTGTCTTCTGCAACCAGTGCCCTCTCTTGCCTTCCTCCTCCAATCAACTCGAATTGCTGTCTTGATTGCGTGTTTGACTTTCACTTTCAGTTCTATATCTGACATGAGCCTGTTTTGGAAACGTGCTTGGTTTCTGTCTTCCCAGATAATTTCAAACAGTATCCCTCTGACCACCTGCGCCACGTGTCCTCCTCCTTCCTTTTCGTTCACCTCAGGTGGGAGGAACCCGAGTGGGACCCATCTCTCGTCTCACTCCACTCCTCTGCCTCCCATTCTCTTCCAATGCCATTCCCACCACTTCCATAGTCTCTTGGAAGCCGGGCATTCCCACCACAGGTGTCGGGTCGACTCAAAAGGCCAATTACACCTTCTACAGCGCAGCTCCACCACCATTCCTCTGCTTAGTAACCAGACAGCAGATGGGGTTACTAACAGCGAGCGCATCCACAGCAGGCTCACCTTTTTACCGTTCGGGAGGCTGGTTAAAGTTTTCCACAGCCGGTTGAACTTTGTTTCCGCCTCTGGTATTTCCTCTCCTAGCAATGTTTGCCAGCGATGTGTTGCGATTGCAGATGGAGGTCGTCCACTGTTTTTTGCAGTTTTGTAACCCTCCTTTACCGAGTAGTGTGCCAGATCCAAGTTGGTAAGTCTGTCCTCCATCTTGTTCCAACTCAATGCTAAGGGATCAATGTTGAGCACCCTGCCCGTCCATTTCAGTATCTTCATTCTCCTTGTTTTGCCCGCCATTTCCACTACTCTAATTTGGCTTGGGTTGCTCCACATCACGATGATCTCTTCTCCCACTTTGTTCAGAATGTTGGAGTGTTCTGCAGCTCTCCAACGTTCAACTCTCCTGAATCCGCTTGGCTGAATTTCCACCATTTTCCACACTATCGCTGGGTCGTCTTCCTCTGCCGCTCTATACCAGGTTCCTGCAGGGTCTACTCCTTCCGGCCCCAAGATCTCCTTCCCTCCTTCTGGTATGGCCTGAATTACCTGCAGCCAGTGTTCTTCTAGGCTGTGGAGGCCCGTTAGCCTACTCTTAACATCTGACAAAGGTTTCCATCTCCCCATCAAATTGGACCAAAGGTCTCTGACTCGCACAACACCTTTGCGGATCCAGGCTTGGCCAAAAGTTGACGCCGATCCGTTTGCTAACAACTGTTCTCCATTTGTTTGCTTGAGGCTGGGATTCTCAAACAGGATCTGTGACAACACTTCCTCTTTGGTATGTGGCTGTTGTTGTTCCTCCGGTGGCTGCTTTTTCCATGTTTTTCGTACCGCATTCCAGAATCTAGAGGTCAGTCTCTTTCTGCAAAAGGATGGAATGAAGAAACAAGCCCAGGTATCCTCCGGACGACTCAGTTTCCACTCATTCATTAGCAGTCTCTCTTCCAGGAGTATCTAATGTTCGTTGGAATCAGTCGTTGCCACCTTGCAGAGCCATGTGCGCAATTGAACTTGGTTCCTTGTCGCTGGGTCCAACATCCCTAGTCCGCCTTGTTCTCGCAGGAAGGTGAGAGTTTCCCATGCCACCTTGGCCAAGAAACCTTCAGACTGTTTTGCTGTTGGCTTCCATAAGAAACAAGCAACCAGGCTGCGGATTGCTGTCCACACACAGTTTGCTATTTCTCTTACTTGGCATACGAACCACAGGATTGACAATAGGGACATGTTAGCTACCAGTGCTCTTCTGAAGATTGATAAGTGCCATGCCTGGCCCCACAGGTTCAGTCTTGTTGCTATTCTATATTGGAGCAGGCTTCCTTGTGTCATTTCCTGTGTACCTGTAGGCTAATTAGAATCCCTAGGAACCTTTCTTCTTCCCCTTCTTCTACTCTGCGCATTCCCCATTCCACTCTGAGTTCGAAGTCCTTCGGTAGCAGATGGGATGACTTGGACCAGTTGACTGGTACTTCCGAAACATTGAGTATAGAGCAGGCCCGAAGTTTTTGCAGACTGTGAACAGATCATCCACGAGTGCCTTGACCGTACAAGTCGTATCTCCTCGCA